TTGGGGGGTGGGGGGGGGGGGGTAGTGATGATTATTTCATAGTATGATAGCTATATTCTGTTAAATTTCCACTCATAAAATTCTTTGATAGTTAAGTTTGAAGATAATTCAAATATTTATATTATTCTAATTAGGTGTTTATTCTTTCTATTTGTACATAGCAACTTGAAATTTCCATGTTAACAAGCTATATTGATATTTGAGATGATTTTTATTTTATATTATAATTAACATGAAATAATGACTTTAATAGTTTAAAGTAAATGAATATACTTATTCAGAAGTTATTGTTTACATCAAACAAATGAATATAAATGTCTCTTATATTAACGATTAGAATGCAATTACACGTTCCGATCAATATATTATACTTGAATAAGAAAAATCATATAAATATTTCATATTTAGGTATATGTAGTAGTAATATATTATAGTGAAAAAATCTCTAAGTTCAAAATCTCGACTTTCTAAAATTATCTCTAGGAGGGAAATAATTTGAACAAAAATTTCAAAAAAGCATATTCAAAATATGAAGAAGGAAGCATACGAAGAAGTCAAGGAGATTCAACATCTACTATCTATATACAGTAAATATGGAGAAGTAAGCATACGAAAAAAAGTCAAGGAGATTCAACATCTACTATACAGTATAATTTTCGATGAATCACTCAACCCCTTACTCAAACATGCTTTCATTTTACTAGGGAATAAAACAACACTAAAACAAAGTTACTAGTAATAAGTTTTTTATTTTATTTCCATATGGTGTCTGGTAACCACATTGGAACCTGACTAAATCCATATTCGCGTTGGATAAGTCCCACATTGGGGTAAATCGCTTCCTAACAAAGATGACTTCATACCTCAGGACTCGAACACGAAACCTTGGTCTATGATTGAACAATATGGAAAGAGAAATAACAAAGATTGGCTAAAATGGATGGAGTATTATTTTATTTATACCACCCAAAATAACTACTTTTTTTCCACATCCAATATAACAATCCCAAAATTAATATACAAACCCTCAACCATATATATATCTTCTAGAAGTAACCTAGAAAATCTATCTATTTTGAAGAACTTAAATGGTTCTTCATCTCCAATGTATAAAGACTATGTAACTATGTAAAACTTGTTTCTTGATTCTTTACACTACCATGATATGATAGAATGAGAAACAATATACTAAAACATGGATCTTTTTTTGTTGTTTAGCGACAGAAGTTGTCCGTCACTAATTCATCATGTTCTTGTTTAGCGACATACAGTTGTATACTGTATGTCGCTAATACATGTTCATGTTTAGCGACAGAAGTTTTCAGTCGCTAAGTTAGCGACTGAAGTTATCTGTCGCTAAATCATGTTCTTGTTTAGCGACAGAAGTTTGTCTGTCGCTAAATCCTGTTTTTGTTTTTGTGATCAGGCAACAAAATCTGGTAACAAGGGTGCGGCGAACCTCTTTCTGTTCTGAATGTTGAAATTTTCGTAGACGCTTGATGTTGAGTGAGCTGATGTTGGTGTGTTTAAGCTACCAAACTCATGATTTGGTTCACTTCCAATTTGGATGTTTTGTGTTGGAATTGGAAGGAAACTGTGGTGTGTTGCTGACATTGAGAGGTTTTCGTTATGTGGTAGGCCAAGAGTGAGTGAAACTGTGCCACTGGTTGAGTATGGTGCTGAGAATTGCTCGGTGCTAAACCGAGCAATTTCTCCAATGGGATAGGCTCCGAATCCTCCCATGAAGTTCATCGGTCCTCCCATTAGTGAGAATCCATCTCTGTCTTGCCTATCATCACCAAACTTCATCGACATTTGTTGCTCGTTAGGCTTTACATCAATGTTGATGGATGGAATGCTGTTTGGTGAATGCAACATCTCGTTGTTCCTTGGTTTCTTTGGACTCCCTTGAGTAATGTTGATGCTTTCGATCTCTGGTGATCCAATGAGGTTGAAACCAGCAGACTGATTACGGATGTTCATACCGATAGGAGGTATGGAAGTGGTGTTGGACATCGGCATTGGTGAAGCAGGGTTGTGTTGGGGCAAATGATTGTCCTGTTTTGAGACAAAACTCTTGTTTTGGCTATCTGAACCAGGGCTTTTGTCTTGTGTAGCAATGGATCTTGATGTTGTTGAATCTTCGTTCTGTTCGCCTAATTTGCTCGTCTTTTCTTGACCCAATCCGTTCTGTTCTTTTATCTCTTCCAAGTACATCTCTTCCACCATTGGCTTCCAAAGACGAACTCGAGCATTGATGAACCAATTCGACACCTGAATTGTCCAAAAACAAAACTTAGTAAAAACCAAAAACGGAGAATCCAAGAGTTGATTTCTCAGATGGTCACTCAACTCACAGTTATTATCTCAGAATGTCACTCTCTTTGTTGAAGTAAGGCGACTTTCTGATATAATAACTACAGTTAAGTGACCATCTGAGAAATCAACTCGAGAATCAAAAATGACAATGTTGTTATCAGATATCACTGACCTGACTCCTAGTTAGCCCTGTTTGTTTTGCTAGCATCATTTTGTCTGAATCCTTGGGATAGCTATACAAAACAAATTGCCACAATATATCAAAATACAGTACTTTTAACTAAGCTATGTTGTTCAGACTCTTCAAAAATATCGTCAGGTATGTGTCGGATCCTCAAAAAATCAATGCATTCTGCGAGGATCCAACACTGGTGCGACAACGTTTTTGAAAAGTCCGAGCAACATAGCTGATGAAAAAGGGTTGTTTCGTGCTTACGGATGGAGGAAATGTTCAAAAAGCCAAGCGCGAAGAACAGAAACAGCTCGTTCGGGCAATCCTCTCTGAGGTCTCCAAGCATTATGCTGGATCATTCCCAATTGTTGCAA